TCCAACCTGTCTGCACCAAGGAGTGCACCTCACCTCCCCTGAGCCTGACTCTGCTGAAATCTGTCCTGATTTTATAATTAGTCAAATAAGACAAAAAACAGAAGGGAAAAGCCCTTGCGGGCTTTCGAGCTATGCTGAGTGGGGCTACCAGAGCCCCAGCTCAACCAGGGCCTCCACACTCACCAAAGCCAAGGACTGAAAACTTCCCTGTCCTTGGACAGCAGTGAGGACATGATCCAGGTCTGGCTGCATCTGCACAGAGCTGGAGCCAGGGCTGCCAGCACTGAGATAGCCCAGCTCCAACCTGTCTGCACCAAGGAGTGCACCTCACCTCCCCTGAGCCTGACTCTGCTGCAGCACACCCTGGACATTGCAGGGCAGGGAAAGTTACAAAGGTAACCTGATGTTTCTAGTCTGCTTTCTTCTTACAGATATTGGTTTTGAAACCCTGAAATTCCCTAGCAAGACATGACCCTCGCTTCTGGCTGCTGGACACTTGTACTCACGTCCCCATGTGTCACCAAAGCCACCAAGAACAGAAACATTCCCTGTCCTTGGGAAGCACTGAGAACGCGATCCAGGTCTGGCTGCATCTGCACAGAGCTGGAGCCAGGGCTGCCAGCACTGAGATAGCCCAGCTCCAACCTGTCTGCACCAAGGAGTGCACCTCACCTCCCCTGAGCCTGACTCTGCTGCAGCACACCCTGGACATTGCAGGGCAGGGAAAGTTACAAAGGTAACCTGATGTTTCTAGTCTGCTTTCTTCTTACAGATATTGGTTTTGAAACCCTGAAATTCCCAAGGAGGACATGGCCCTCGCTTCTGGCTGCTGGACACATGTATTCACCTGTGTCCCTGGGGATGCTCCTGCCTGGCCGTGCTTTGGGGAGGTTGAGCCTGGCAGTGCCTGCTGGGCCAGGCTGGCTGGGCTGCCTGTGGTGGAGCTGCCCTGCAGATGCTCCCTGTCTGGGGAATTGGTGTCCTCCTCCCTGCTGTGGCTGTGCTGCTCCACACCCCATCCCAGCAGACAGGAGGAGGAGGAAACCATGCAAGGCCTGGTTTGGGAGACGTGGAAAAGGTCACATTTGGTGTTGAAATATCCAACATAGTTTTCCCATGGAATAAGCAGAATCCCGTATGGTCCCTTCCCATCTGAGGTGGTCTGGAGTGGCAATGCTCTGCTCTGCCAAAGGCTGGGGCCTCTCCCTGTGTGCAAAACGAACCTCAGGCACGTGATTCCCTGAGTAGTTCAATATCTGTCTGTGTCCATCTGCATGGTTTAGTGGCAGGGCAGAAAATTTTATTTTCTCCATCTCATTTCCAAACTTCCCAAAAAAGCTTTTGGCGTGAAATGAGTGGCAATTCCTTCCACTCACTGTACAAACACCAAAGAAACAGTTTCCCCTTTTGCACTGACAGATCTTTTGTGAAATTCTAAAGACAGAACCCACAACTGAGTAGGGGGGTGCTTTTCACCTAGACTTGTGCATTTTGAGGGAAATTCAACTCACACCGCTTGCTATCCCGGTGCGTTCGACCCTTCGGGCATGACGGGCTAGGTGCGGCTGGTGTGAAATATCCTTCCCCTGTTACAGACTACACACAACCTGCAAACCCCTTCATCTATCACAGTCCTGTCTGCGATGCCAATTTAAAGTCATTACTCCCTGCTTGTAGAGCAGATCATGACAGGGATGTGGGAACTCAGTACATCACTCCGGATGTCCAGAGCTACCGAGACAACCCTTGGGGGGCTCGGAGGCCCTGGAATGTTGCCAAAAGTACCTGGTGGCTTGACTTTGATCCTTTTAAAGAAATGACACCTGAAAGTGAGGAGATGAGAGAATTTCATGTCTGAATGGTGAGGGGATGTTATTCACTTGTTAGAACTTAAGTTAGAACGCACTGTACTGGGGGTTTTTATGTGTTGTACAGGGGGGTCTAGAATTCTGTGCATGGATCAGGAGTCCCAAGATGGAGGAATTTGGGCGTGCCCTGTCCTTCTTCTTTCTTCTCCTTGGCATCCATGTTCAGGATGGTGTTGGCGTGTGTGGATTGGTTCATAGAAAGAGTACACTTGCCAACAAGGGCAGAAAGTATTGGGAAGTAAAGGTAAATATCTAATACGTAATTTTCATTATAAAAGAGACAACCGCCTCGTGGGAGGGAGAGAGTGCCTTTGGTTGTCTTGCTGATCAGACCTCGGCTGGACAGACAGAAAATCTTTGTAGATAAGAAATAATAAACTCGACTGAAGACCTAAAAGCAAGAGTCCAGACTCCTTCTTCGAGAGCGCGGCCTACCCAGAACCACTTTTTTCTGTGCTGGGGCAGAGACAAGTAACAGCCGACCCCGGCAAGGGAGGGAAGGAAATTTTATATTCTTTATTACATTTCCAAATTCTGTGAATGAGCTGTTGAGGTGAAATGCGGGGCAAACGTTTCCTTTCCCCGTAAAAAGCTGAGCACAATCACAATATTCAGCCAGATATTTCACATCCCTCTCTGAGTATAAAACAGATAAAATGGGAGGTCACATAGAGGAAAACCATTTCTTCATTTCTCCTCTTCCCAACACCAACCCACCTCTCTTGTCCATCCCAGCCCTCTCCTGCCCATCCCGGTGCCGCTGCGCCGTGGGTGTCACAAGAGGTGTTGCATGGGGACAACGGTGACATTGATTGCAACAGCCCCACCAGGCCCCTCAGCCTCTGCCCCTACAGCAGCAGGGAGGGAGCAGGGCCAGCCCCAGCACCCCCACAGCCATGGGGCACTCCCGGGTTGGCCCAGGCCACTTGTGCCAGCAGCAACTGGGGCCTGTCCCACCCACCTGCACTGCTATAAACCCAGCCTGTTTGGGGCACTGCAGCATTGCCTGGCCCCAGGGGCATCTGCACACAGCCATTCCTGCTGCATTTGCTGCTGCCTGAACACCAAAGCCCTTCTCAGGGAGGTGAGTGTGGGATCTTCTTTTTTTCAGAATTCTGCTTACTCTGGGTCCTGCCTCTCCCAATTGCCTTGGTGTTCGCATTGCAGCTCTGTGAAGATCCAGGAGAGGCAGCAGCCATGAAAATCCTGCTCCTGCTCTTCCCCCTGCTTCTCCTGTTGGTCCAGGGTGCTGCAGGTGAGAGGTGAAGAGGGGAAATTGTGGGAAGAATGAGCCTGCACCAGGGGGAATTCATTGTCCCTGGAAGTGACCGTGTTTGTGGAAATGATGAGAAGGTTATTGGGGTCTGAGGTGTTTCTCAAGTGAGTTTCCAACTGGACACCATTTGGGGCTAGAGAGGTTCCTGGGAAATAGGATGTGGGATGTGAGGAGTCCCTGCCTGCTAGCAGGACTGCAAGCACACCCTACTATCCTGGATTACTGTTGTAATAACTGTTTGTGCTTTTGTCCATGGAAACAGGAAATGCCGCTCGATGCAGGCGCCGAGGGGGATTCTGCAGCTTTGATGGCTGCGTCTCCCAGACAAAACCTATTGGAAGATGTTCAGCAGTGAGTGTATGCTGCAAAGGGTAAGGACCAGATCCTAGCCTGAAGAAATTATTCCTACATTTTTTGCAGAGTGATCTCTTACAAATTTCATTGTAACACAGAATTAGTGGAAGTAACCTAAAAGAGAACAAGCCTTTAAGGAGTGTGGAGCTGCCCAGAGTGGGGCTGCAGCAGCCCCAGGTCAGGAAAGGCCACTGCACTCACCAAAGCCACCAAGAACAGAAACATTCCCAGTCCGTGGGCAGCACTGAGGACATGATTGTCTGTTTATTCTTACAGTCGCTGGGTCTGAAACCCTGGAATTGCCAAGCAGGACATGGCCCTCACTTCTGGCTGCTGAAAATCACCTGCTGATGTCCCCATGTGCTGATGTCTCCATGTGCTGATGTCCCCATGTGCTGATGTGCCCTGCCCTCGCTGGCTGTGCCGTGCCCAGCTGGGCTGACAGCAGCAGTGGCAGCTGCTCCTGCTGGCTGCTGCTGGGCTGGAGCCCTGTGGTGTCAGGCCCGGTGTCTTTGGGGCAGGGGCTGCTTTTCCCGGCTTGAATAAAGAGCAGCACTTTGGCATTGCAGGGCTGGGCCGTGTGTGTGTGTGCTGCTGCTGGTGGGGTTGTAAGGGAGCAGCTGGGGACCCTGCTTGGTTCACTGAAGACTTTCCATCTCAAGAATCATACACATAAAATTATCGATATTCAATAAGACCTGTAAGAATATTGAGTCCAACCATTCCCCCAGGACTGCAAACCCCAACACTAAACCGTGAGCACAAGTGCCACATCCACTCAGCTTTTAAATTCTCTGCAGGAATAGTGACTCTACCACTGCCCTGGGCAGCATTTCTTGAACAACCACCACCATTTCTGCAAAGAAATTATTCTTAAAACCCAGTCAACTTCTTCCCTGGTGCTCTTTGAGACCATTTCCTCTCCTTCTGTCAATTGTTACCCGGGAGAAGAGACTGACCCCAAAAATGTTTGCACTGACATTGCTTCCCAACCTGGAGGATTTTCTGAGGGATGTTCAGATCATCCCTGCCTACCTTGACTTTTCCCTCAGCTCTGGTCACATATCCTGGCACTGACTCTGGGGCTGTCACATCAAGCTCCCTTTCCCTCAGCAGTGAAGTGCTGCTCCCCCATCCCAGGGACTCCTTGGCCCAGAACATCTGGAGCCAGAGTGATGGAGGTGTGGGAAGGGAGCTCAGGGCTTACCGAGGGCACACAGGGGGAAGTAAAAGGTAAATGGCAGGGCAGAAAATTTTATTTTCTCCATCTCATTTCTAAACTCCCCGAAAGAGCTGTGGAAGTGAAATGTGTTGCAAAACATTCTCCTCCCTGTACAATGTTGGGCATGATTGCAATATTCAGTCAGATGTTCCACATCCCTCTCTGAATATAAAACAGATAAAATGGGAGATCACAAGGAAGGAGGGAAGCCATTTCCTCATTTCTGCTCTCCCCAGCATGATTTACTCTGCCTTGTCCATCCCAGCCCTCTCCTGCCCAGCCCAGTGCCGCTGTGGCACGGGTGTCACAAGAGGTGTTGCATGGGGACAACGGTGACATTGATTGCAACAGCCCCACCAGGCCCCTCAGCCTCTGCCCCTACAGCAGCAGGGAGGGAGCAGGGCCAGCCCCAGCACCCCCACAGCCATGGGGCACTCCCGGGTTGGCCCAGGCCACTTGTGCCAGCAGCAACTGGGGCCTGTCCCACCCACCAGCACTGCTATAAACCCAGCCTGTTTGGGGCACTGCAGCATTGCCTGGCCCCAAGGGCATCTGCACACAGCCATTCCTGCTGCCTTTGCTGCTGCCTGAACACCAAAGCCTTTCTCAGGGAGGTAAGTACCAGGTCTCACTCCGAAATCCTGCCCACTCTGGGTCCTGTTTGTCCCCATTGCTTTCGAGTTCCCACCAGGGGCACCTGCACACAGCCATTCCTGCTGCCTTTGCTGCTGCCTGAACACCAAAGCCTTTCTCAGGAAGGTGAGTGTGGGGTCTCTCTCCGAAATCCTGCCCACTTTGGGTCCTTTTTGTCCCCATTGCTTTCGTGTTCCCTTTTGCAGCCCTGTGAAGTCCCGGGAGGAACAGCAGCCATGAAGATCCTGTTCCTGCTCTTCGCCCTGATCCTCCTGTTGGTCCAGGGTGATGCAGGTGAGATGGGAAAAGGGGAAAAGTGGGAAATTGTGAGCACCCAGCAGTGGGCATTCAGTGTCCCTGGAATGACCGTGGTTGTGGGAATGACGAGAAGGTAACAGGGGTTGGAGGTGAAAGGTGTTTCCTGAGTGAGTTTCCAGATGGACACTGATTTGGGGTGAAGAGAGCCCATGGAAACAGAATCCTGACTTGTTCTGTGGGTCAGGGACATGAAAAGTGACAAATCCCTGCCTGCCAGCTCTGCTGGTCCAGGCCAAGGTGGGAATGCAGCGGGGCAAAAGCACGGCTCTTCCTCAACCTCATGCTGGTCTTTTTTACTCTCTGCTGTGTTGTGCCTCCAGGTTAGGGGGACAGGGACCTTCCAGGTGAGACAAATTGCAATTGGAGATGTGGCTGGGGAAGGATTAGATCTGTGCGCTTCTCTTGGCCTGAAATGCACCAGCGCCAGGAGCATCAGCCTTTCTATAACCACAGTCTGAACTCTCTGATTATTTCTTTAATTGTTCCTTGTGTCTTTCCCCATGGCAACAGCAAGTGCAGCTTCATGCCGTTCAAAACGGGGAATCTGCGTCAAACATTTTTGCCCCAGTGGTTCATATCGTGTTGTGGGAAGATGTTCACGAGGCTTTGCATGCTGTAAAAGGTAAGGCCCAGACCTTTGGTTGAAGAAAGATTTTCCTCTTTTGTACTCAGAAAGATCTATTACCAATGTCTTTCTTGTCAACTCATGATAAATATTCTCCTGCATTTATGCTTTGGGAAATATGCTTAAGAAGGGAAAGAATAGTCCTTGTGGTTTTGATCTCCCCTCACTGAGGCTGCAGGAGCCCCAGGTCAGCCAGGGCCTCCCCACTCTCCCACAGTCCCCAGGGCCTCATTCAGGCTCTGCACAGGCCTGACCAAAGCCACGAAAAATGTGAAGCCTTCACCGTCCTTGGGCAGCACCGAGGACGTGATGCAGGTCCTGCAGTATCTGCACAGAGCTGGAGCCAGGGCTGCCAGCACTGAGATAGCCCAGCTCCAACCTGTCTGCACCAAGGAGTGCACCTCACCTCCCCTGAGCCTGACTCTGCTGCAGCACACCCTGGGCATTGCAGGGCAAGGGAGAGAGTGGCCCCATGGAAACAGAATCCTGACTTGTTCTGTGGGTCAGGGACATGAAAAGTGACAAATCCCTGCCTGCCAGCTCTGCTGGTCCAGGCCAAGGTGGGAATGCAGCGGGGCAAAAGCACGGCTCTTCCTCAACCTCATGCTGGTCTTTTCTACTCTCTGCTGTGTTGTGCCTCCAGGTTAGGGGGACAGGGACCTTCCAGGTGAGACAAATTGCAATTGGAGATGTGGCTGGGGAAGGATTAGATCTGTGCGCTTCTCTTGGCCTGAAATGCACCAGCGCCAGGAGCATCAGCCTGTCTATAACCACAGTCTGACCTCTCAGATTATTCCTTTAATTGTTCCTTCTGTCTTTCCCCATGGGAACAGCAAGTGCAGCTTCATGCCGTTCAAAACGGGGAATCTGCGTCAAACATTTTTGCCCCAGTGGTTCATATCGTGTTGTGGGAAGATGTTCACGAGGCTTTGCATGCTGTAAAAGGTAAGGCCCAGACCTTTGGTTGAAGAAAGATTTTCCTCTTTTGTACTCAGAAAGATCTATTACCAATGTCTTTCTTGTCAACTCATGATAAATATTCTCCTGCATTTATGCTTTGGGAAATATGCTTAAGAAGGGAAAGAATAGTCCTTGTGGTTTTGATCTCCCCTCACTGAGGCTGCAGGAGCCCCAGGTCAGCCAGGGCCTCCCCACTCTCCCACAGTCCCCAGGGCCTCATTCAGGCTCTGCACAGGCCTGACCAAAGCCACGAAAAATGTGAAGCCTTCACCGTCCTTGGGCACCACCGAGGACGTGATGCAGGTCCTGCAGTATCTGCACAGAGCTGGAGGCAGGGCTGCCAGCACTGAGATAGCCCAGCTCCAACCTGTCTGCACCAAGGAGTGCACCTCACCTCCCCTGAGCCTGACTCTGCTGCAGCACACCCTGGGCATTGCAGGGCAAGGGAGAGAGTGGCAGGGAAAGTTACAACAGCTGATGTGCTTGTCTGTTTTCTTCTTGTAGCCTGAGGGGTTGAAACCCTGAAATTCCCAAGCAGAACATGACCCATTTGCTTCTGGCTGCTGGAAATCACCTCCTGAAGTCCCCATCTGCTGATGTCCCCATCTGCTGATGTCCCCATGTGCTGATGTCCCCTGCCCTCGCTGGCTGTGCCGTGCCCAGCTGGGCTGCCAGCAGCAGTGGCAGCTGCTCCTGCTGGCTGCTGCTGGGCTGGAGCCCTGTGGTGGCAGGGCCGGTGTCTTTGGGGCAGGGGCTGCTTTTCCCAACTTGAATAAAGAGCAGCACTTTGGCATTGCAGGGCTGGGCCGTGTGTGCGTGTGCTGCTGCTGCTGCAGGGCTGCTGTGCCTGCTGGCCCTGGGGCTGCCACTGCCTTGGTGGCAGCACAAGGCCCTGGCCATGGTGCTGGGGCTGAGCAGCGCCTGTGTCCCTGGGGATGCTCCTGCCTGGCCCTGCTTTGGGGACGCTGAGCCTGGCAGTGCCTGCTGGGCCAGGCTGGCTGGGCTGCCTGTGGTGGGGCTGCCCTGCAGATGCTCCCTCTGGGGAGCAAGATCCCTATTCTGCTCCTGCTGGTTATGGGTGTCCCTTGTCCCCAACAGCCATGGCTTTGTGTGCATGGCTCTCCTGGGGGCTCCCTTCTAGGCCCGGCCTTGCTTCCCACCCAACCATCCCTGATATCCTGTCATTCCCACCACACTCTTGACTGGGATCTCAATCTTCCTCATCTGCCCTTGAGCTGAGGTCTGCAGTGCAGTCCCTGCTCAGTTCCCCTCTTCTTCTAGGCCCACAGCACCAACTCCTCCACCAGCCCACACCCTCTGTCCTTTCCACATCCCTTCCAGAGGGGCCTGATCCTGCAGAGCCAGGAGACCTCAGCATTCTTTCAAGGGAAACAAGGCTGGCTGTACAGCTCCTCCCGGAGGTGATCTCTCCAAGTGGTCCCTTGGACTACAACCTGAAAGTGCCCTTCAATATCTCCCATCAAGGCAAAAGCCAGGTGTCTTCTCATCTCTAGCAGCTCAGATAAATTGGTTTTATCACATTCCTCACTTCCAAAGGCCAGTGGTCTCAGCATTCCTGTGCGTGCAGACCCAGCCCAGCAGAGTCAATTAATGTGTTTTGAGACTGGCCCTGGTCCCTCCCTTCTGCAGGGCCAGAGGCTGAGGGGCCTGGTGGGGCTGTTGCAATCAATGTCACCGTTGTCCCCACGCAACACCTCTTGTGACACCCGCGGCACAGCAGCAACGGGCTGTGGGGCCAGCAGGGAAATCCTTGGGATGGGCACAGGAACTGGTGGGTGCAGGCACAGGCACCAGCCCAGTTCTGGTCCCAGTCCTTGCTGGGCAGGAGGGGTCTGTGCCATGTGCCCAAGTTAACGTCTCCCTCTCCAGGAGTTTGGCAGAGCAATCTAGTTGCCCCCCAATTGCAGAGCCTGAGTTTCTGGGGATTATTTGGCAGTGGAACCTCGTGCCTCAACATTTTTTCCTGCACAACCCTGAAATATGAAGTCACACTGACAAGGTGACAATTAAGAAAAACATCAGAAATGGATCCTCAGCAGAAACACAGGGCCCAACTGCCCAGATCAGCAGCAGTGGCAGCTGCTCCTGCTGGCTGCTGCTGGGCTGGAGCCCTGTGGTGTCAGGCCCGGTGTCTTTGGGGCAGGGGCTGCTTTTCCTGGCTTGAATAAAGAGCAGCACTTTGGCATTGCAGGGCTGGGCTGTGTGTGCGTGTGCTGCTGCTGCTGCAGGGCTGCTGTGCCTGCTGGCCCTGGGGCTGCCACTGCCTTGGTGGCAGCACAAGGCCCTGGCCATGGTGCTGGGGCTGAGCAGCGCCTGTGTCCCTGGGGATGCTCCTGCCTGGCCCTGCTTTGGGGACGCTGAGCCTGGCAGTGCCTGCTGGGCCAGGCTGGCTGGGCTGCCTGTGGTGGAGCTGCCCTGCAGATGCTCCCTCTGGGGAGCTGGATCCGTATTCTGCTCCTGCTGGTTATGGGTGTCCCTTGTCCCCAACAGCCATGGCTTTGTGTGCATGGCTCTCCTGGGGGCTCCCTTCTAGGCCCGGCCTTGCTTCCCACCCAACCATCCCTGATATCCTGTCATTCCCACCACACTCTTGACTGGGATGTCGATCTTCCTCATCTGCCCTTGAGCTGACATCTGCAGTGCAGTCCCTGCTCAGTTCCCCTCTTCTTCTAGGCCCACAGCACCAACTCCTCCACCAGCCCACACCCTCTGTCCTTTCCACATCCCTTCCAGAGGGGCCTGATCCTGCAGAGCCAGGAGACCTCAGCATTCTTTCAAGGGAAACAAGGCTGGCTGTACAGCTCCTCCCCTCCTCCAGGAGGTGATCTCTCCAAGTGGTCCCTTGGACTACAACCTGAAAGTGTCCTTAAATATCTCCCATCAGGGCAAAAGCCAGGTGTCTTCTCATCTCTAGCAGCTCAGATAAATTGGTTTTATCACATTCCTCACTTCCAAAGGCCAGTGGTCTCAGCATTCCTGTGCATGCAGACCCAGCCCAGCAGAGTCAATTAATGTGTTTTGAGACTGGCCCTGGTCCCTCCCTTCTGCAGGGCCAGAGGCTGAGGGGCCTGGTGGGGCTGTTGCAATCAATGTCACCGTTGTCCCCACGCAACACCTCTTGTGACACCCGCGGCACAGCGGCAACGGGCTGTGGGGCCAGCAGGGAAATCCTTGGGATGGGCACAGGAACTGGTGGGTGCAGGCACAGGCACCAGCCCAGTTCTGGTCCCAGTCCTTGCTGGGCAGGAGGGGTCTGTGCCATGTGCCCAAGTTAACGTCTCCCTCTCCAGGAGTTTGGCAGAGCAATCTAGTTGCCCCCCAATTGCAGAGCCTGAGTTTCTGGGGATTATTTGGCAGTGGAACCTCGTGCCTCAACATTTTTTCCTGCACAACCCTGAAATATGAAGTCACACTGACAAGGTGACAATTAAGAAAAACATCAGAAATGGATCCTCAGCAGAAACACAGGGCCCAACTGCCCAGATTACTGATGGTTTACTGGGAAGGTTTTCTGAAGATAAGTGGGAAAGGTTCTGCTCTGTGCCAGAGCAGCATGTTGGTGCTGGTTTCCAAGGAGCAGGGTCAGAGTCTGTGTCCCTGGATATGTTCAGCACACCACAGAACCACAAGGAGTTCTTACACAAGGCAGGATGACACAAGACCTTGGGTTGGGAATCCTTCCCAGAGGTTTCAGAAGAGGAAACAAAAACCTCCTTTTCTTCAGTGCAGAGGGGAAACAGAGAAAGGAACTTTTGGGCTGGACATCTTGAGTACTCAAGTGACTCCAGCCTTCCTTTTGTGCTCTCCTCATGTATATGTTCCAGAGAGCAGCAGGCACAACAGTAATGAATTAAATGGATGAAAAAATAGAGGATTTAAGTGATGCTACAGTGAAACTGTGCTGTGGATGTTGAATTTTCCTATAAACAGAATGAAGACAAAAAAAGACAGAAATCAAACCTTTCAGTACCGCTATTTTTTTTCCTCTAATGAGATCATGAGTCACATATGGGTTCTCCTGGTGTGCAGATGTTCCTCACTGCCCCAGGAGGTGATCTCTCCAAGTGGTCCCTTGGACTACAACCTGAAAGTGCCCTTCAATATCTCCCATCAAGGCAAAAGCCAGGTGTCTTCTCATCTCTAGCAGCTCAGATAAATTGGTTTTATCACATTCCTCACTTCCAAAGGCCAGTGGTCTCAGCATTCCTGTGCATGCAGACCCAGCCCAGCAGAGTCAATTAATGTGTTTTGAGACTGGCCCTGGTCCCTCCCTTCTGCAGGGCCAGAGGCTGAGGGGCCTGGTGGGGCTGTTGCAATCAATGTCACCGTTGTCCCCACGCAACACCTCTTGTGACACCCGCGGCACAGCAGCAACGGGCTGTGGGGCCAGCAGGGAAATCCTTGGGATGGGCACAGGAACTGGTGGGTGCAGGCACAGGCACCAGCCCAGTTCTGGTCCCAGTCCTTGCTGGGCAGGAGGGGTCTGTGCCATGTGCCCAAGTTAACGTCTCCCTCTCCAGGAGTTTGGCAGAGCAATCTAGTTGCCCCCCAATTGCAGAGCCTGAGTTTCTGGGGATTATTTGGCAGTGAAACCTCGTGCCTCAACATTTTTTCCTGCACAACCCTGAAATATGAAGTCACACTGACAAGGTGACAATTAAGAAAAACATCAGAAATGGATCCTCAGCAGAAACACAGGGCCCAACTGCCCAGATTACTGATGGTTTACTGGGAAGAAGGAGCAGCTTCAGAGTCTTTGGCACTGTATATGTTGAGCACACCACAGAACCAGAAGGAGTTGTTACACAAGGCAGGATGACACAAGACCTTGGGTTGGGAATCCTTCCCAGAGGTTTCAGAAGAGGAAACAAAAACCTCCTTTTCTTCAGTGCAGAGGGGAAACAGAGAAAGGAACTTTTGGGCTGGACATCTTGAGTACTCAAGTGACTCCAGCCTTCCTTTTGTGCTCTCCTCATGTATATGTTCCAGAGAGCAGCAGGCACAACAGTAATGAATTAAATGGATGAAAAAATAGAGGATTTAAGTGATGCTACAGTGAAACTGTGCTGTGGATGTTGAATTTTCCTATAAACAGAATGAAGACAAAAAAAGACAGAAATCAAACCTTTCAGTACCGCTATTTTTTTTCCTCTAATGAGATCATGAGTCACATATGGGTTCTCCTGGTGTGCAGATGTTCCTCACTGCCCCATACCTTTAAGGGATGGCTCCTGCAGGTTTCAGCTGGAATTGGAGCTGGGAATTGTAACAAAGCTGTAAGGAGCAGCTTCAGAGTCTTTGGCACTGTATATGTTGAGCACACCACAGAACCAGAAGGAGTTGTTACACAAGGCAGGATGACACAAGACCTTGGGTTGGGAATCCTTCCCAGAGGTTTCAGAAGAGGAAACAAAAACCTCCTTTTCTTCAGTGCAGAGGGGAAACAGAGAAAGGAACTTTTGGGCTGGACATCTTGAGTACTCAAGTGACTCCAGCCTTCCTTTTGTGCTCTCCTCATGTATATGTTCCAGAGAGCAGCAGGCACAACAGTAATGAATTAAATGGATGAAAAAATAGAGGATTTAAGTGATGCTACAGTGAAACTGTGCTGTGGATGTTGAATTTTCCTATAAACAGAATGAAGATGAAAAAAGACAGAAATCAAATTTCAGTAGCGCTATTTTTTTCCTCTAGTGAGATCATGAGTCACATATGGGTTCTCCTGGTGTGCAGATGTTCCTCACTGCCCCATACCTTTAAGGAATGGCTCCTGCTGC